CCGACCAATTCGACTTTAACTAACATGTCTTGACTTAAAAAGGATATTAAACTGAATTTAACAAGCAAAGGCTGAACTTGACTTCGAAACCGAAGCCCTCGGACGTGGCGCACTCGCTATGTGCGAGGCCTACGGCCCTCGGCCATCTCTCGGCCAAACAGCCATTTTACTCGACAACTCCAGAACCTGACTACATGATCAATATACTGGGCTGAATTAAGACTTAATCACATGAGAGAATCTGATCAATACTGAAACAGCATGCCTCGGCCCACGGCTACCCGAGGCTACGCGCGAAAGGCGCGGGGGTGCCGGCTGGGGCCTTTTCATCGGCAAAACCTCACTTTTACACGACAACACTCACTTGACTAAACATGATTAACTGAATTAAGGCCAAATAAACGATAAATGCTCATGGCTTATGCTCAGCTTATGAACTCATGCCTCATGGCCGCTCATAGCCACGTGCGATCGGCACTAGCTACGGCTTTGGCCAATTCACCGGCAATCCTCGATTTTTCATTGACCAACTACACTTAAAAGCACATAACACTTTAATTAGAGGCTGAACAACTAATAAATGCTCGGAACTTTGCCGGAAAATTCAAACTTGTTCGGGCATAACCCTACTCAAATATGTTCGGCTTATTCATGATCAAATCTGAAATTTTCGGCAATTTATCCGAACACTTAACTACAAGATGACCTAATCATCAAGTCTATGAACTGAAGGGAAGTTTACCTTCCTGAACACTCGATGGAAAATCGGGATTAAAGCGTAGCTTCTCCTCGCGTGAACGCCGTGCGGTAGCTTCGGTTTGCCGTGCGATTGACGTGAACTAAAAAGGGAAAATTTGCTGAGGTTTACCTAACTATAGGCAGCTGAACAAAGGAACTAAATTATGCTGGAGGAGTGCTCGGTTACCTTAAGGGAAAATGGCAAAATTTTCCCTAAGTACACCCTTATATAGACGTACGGTTTGAGGGGGGTGATGATGTTGCTTGAGCGTGGCCCTCTTGGGCATCTTCCACTTGTTCCCTTCTTATGTATCTCAAGATGACTAAGCTTCTTAATATCATGACAATTGCTAAAATTTGATTGGTTAATTTCTTTTCTTATGGCCTAAGAACTCTTACGGCAATTTGGAAGAATTTGGGGAAAAATAAACTTAATCCTCACGGCACTTAGTACAAATTAGGGCTAAATTGGTGATTAATCCCAATTAATCACTCAATTGATGTTTAATTGTTAAATTAAACATACTACTTAATTACCAAAATTATTTCGGACGTAAACAGTACGCCGAAAATAGATTTCGGTAATCCGACTGAACTTAATTAATTCCGAAAATAATTAACAATAACGTTACTATATCGGAATTAAACGTAATTTATACTGATAATGTCTCGGGATATTACAGGCTGCACCCGTTGGGCACCCAACTCGCGTGCCTTTAATTCCTTCGAGCCACCTGGTTCCTTAGCCATTCCCACCAGGTTCAAATCCTTTGATAACCATCCCAAAACCTCTGATAGTGCTTCCTTTCGAGGCGTGGTTTCGCCCGTGCACGTCTAAGCCAATGTGCATATTCGCGCCCTTCTGGTTGGGTCGATTCACGCCTTGGCTGCATTTGGGTTGACTCGTGCCGCCTCTTTTGTGCTCGCGTGCCTCGCATTCACGCTCGTACCCGTTTCTTAGGCCATGCGTGCGTAGTTTTGGCACTTTTTTTGGCCTTCTCGGCTTTTGGACCTTCTCGTCGTTGGGGCTCGAAACCCACTTCCGCATCACACTGGCGCACTGGGGCACGGCACAGCAGAACAACGCGCGCGTAGACACGCGTGCAGGGACGAGCTCGCAGACACAGCGCGCGCGGGCGCAGGGCAGCAGCGTTCGCGCGAGCGCAGGGTGATACGGAAGTGGTCATCAACCCTAGTGAATCGAGCGATGGAATGGTCGAAGATCTCGATCTATGGTTGGAGAACATGCTCGAGAAGCCATCAAGCCCGATTTATCGGCCTTCGTGCGAGTGAGATTGGCTGGAAGGATGTGGTCCACGGGCTAAGTTGAAGGCTAAGAAACGCAGGGCCAAAAGACGACGCAAAGCAAAGGCGCAAAAGACAAGCCATTGTTGTGGGCCGTGCACTAGGAACAAAAGGGCATGGCATTCGGAGTTTCGGAGGCGTGGTAGGCTTGGGATGGAAGATGGCTGGATATGGCGTGCTGGAGACTGCATTGGGTTGGAAGGTT